CAAACAAGAGGACTCCACTAGCAATAGTGAGGATATATTACCAAAAACAACTGGTGGGAGCTCCATTGTTGGTGCTAGGGAGGATAGAAGTAAGACAGGGAAACATGCACCAACAGGGAATACAGTCACAGAAACCCAAGGCAAACGGAAACCAAGCCTGTGCACATACTATGCACTCGGTATCTGCTGGCATGGGAAATCTGGAAAAACAGATGGGACGTGCAACTATGACCACCCTAGAATATGCCATGCCCATATGACAACAGGAAAATGCAAACTCCCTTCCTGTAAGCTTTTTCACCCTGAACTGTGTACCTCTTCAGTACAGGAAAGACTGTGCTATAACTTAAATTGCCAGGCATACCATCTAAAGGGGACAAAAAGATACAAAACATCCAGGCCATGGGAAAACCTGGGTAGCCACAGCCACTCAAGAGGGAGAGGTTTTTTTAGTGCCAGGAAGGAAAAAAACTGGCAGGAAATGGCAGAAATTGTACACCAAATCCAGTCATTCCTGGAGTGGAACCACAGTCGATGGCCTCCACTCCAAACCAACAGATACAGATACTAATGCCGGAAAAAAATCCCCCCCCAGTACCAACAATACCACCAGTCCGATAACATTCTTCTTGGCAAATATACAGGGTCTAAAGCCAGCAACAAACAACAAAATACCTTTCATCCGTGGACTGCTTGCAGAGGCAAAGGCAATGTTCGCGGCTTTCACTGAGACCCACATAAAGGATCACTTGGACAACGAAATATGGATCCCAGGTTACAACCTATACAGATGTGACAGAGTGAACAGGCAAAAGGGGGGAGGGGGTTGGCCTGTACATTGCAGAGTCACTTGTTTGCACAGAACTGCTAAATGCTCACAAATGATGTAGTGGAAGTTTTAGCAGTAAAGGTCGAGAACCAAAACCTAGTCATTGTGGTAGTCTACAAGCCTCCGGATGCAACATCCCAGCAATTCCAGGAACAGCTGTTAAAAATTGACCACTGTCTGGAAAATCTTCCAGCTCCTGCACCCAACATCTTGCTCCTGGGGGATTTCAACTTAAGGCACCTAAAATGGAGGAATATAGCAAATAATATTGTTGCAGAAATAACACCAGGAGGCAGCTCTGATGAAAACTCACACTCACACGAGCTTTTAAATCTCTGCACAAAATTCAATTTAAACCAGCAAATAATAGAGCCTACTAGACTGGAGAATACACTAGACCTCATCTTCACTAACAATGATGATCTGATAAGAAATGTCACCATATCAAAAACAATATACTCAGATCACAACATAATTGAGGTTCAGTCATGTATGCGCGGAGCCCCAGACCGACATAATGAGATTAGTCACGAGGGAGCATTCACCAAATTCAACTTCAATAACAAAAACATAAAGTGGGACCAAGTAAACCAAGTCCTAACCGATATAAGCTGGGAAGATATACTAAGCAACACAGACCCCAACTTATGCCCAGAACAGATTAACTCGGTGGCACTCATGTATGCACAAGGCTTATTCCTCTAAGAAAAAGGAGGAGTAGATGTAAAATAGAAAGAGACAGGCGCTCCCTTCACAGGCGACGGAAAAGAATAACAGAGCGGCTAAAAGAGGTCAATATATCTGAAATGCGTAGGGAAACACTGGTCAGAGAAATAGCAAGCATCGAACTTAAGCTAAAAGAATCCTGCAGGAGTCAGGAATCGCGGGAAGAACTAAAAGCCATAAATGAAATCGAAAGAAACCCAAAGTATTTCTTCTCCTATGCCAAATCAAAATCGAGAACAACGTCCAGTATTGGGCCCCTACTTAAACAAGATGGGTCCTACACAGATAACAGCAAGGAAATGAGTGAGCTACTCAAGTCCCAATATGACTCAGTTTTTAGCAAGCCGCTAACCAGACTGAGAGTCGAAGATCAAAATGAATTTTTTATGAGAGATCCACAAAATTTGATTAACACAAGCCTATCCGATGTTATCCTGACGCCAAATGACTTCGAACAGGCGATAAATGACATGCCCATGCACTCTGCCCCAGGGCCAGACTCATGGAACTCTGTGTTCATCAAGAACTGCACGAGCCTTTTCCATCCTATGGAGAGGGAGCATGGACACGGGGGTCGTCCCACAGTTACTAAAAACAACAGACATAGCCCCACTCCACAAAGGGGGCAGTAAAGCAACAGCAAAGAACTACAGACCAATAGCACTAACATGCCATATCATAAAAATCTTTAAAAGGGTCCTAAGAAGCAAGATCACCACCCATCTAGAAAACCATCAGTTACACAACCCAGGGCAACATGGGTTTAGAACAGGTCGCTCCTGTCTGTCTCAACTATTGGATCACTACGACAAGGTCCTAAATGCACTAGAAGACAAAAAGAATGCAGATGTAATATATACAGACTTTGCAAAAGCCTTCGACAAGTGTGACCATGGCGTAATAGCGCCACAAATGCGTGCTAAAGGAATAACAGGAAAAGTCGGTCGATGGATCTATAATTTCCTCACTAACAGAACACAGAGAGTAGTCGTCAACAGAGTAAAGTCCGAGGCAGCTACGGTGAAAAGCTCTGTTCCACAAGGCACAGTACTCGCTCCCATCTTGTTCCTCATCCTCATATCCGACATAGACAAGGATGTCAGCCACAGCACCGTGTCTTCCTTTGCAGATGACACCCGAATCTGCATGACAGTGTCTTCCATTGCAGACACTGCAAAGCTCCAGGCGGACATCAACCAAATCTTTCAGTGGGCTGCAGAAAACAATATGAAGTTCAACGATGAGAAATTTCAATTACTCAGATATGGTAAACATGAGGAAATTAAATCTTCATCAGAGTACAAAACAAATTCTGGCCACAAAATAGAGCGAAACACCAACGTCAAAGACCTGGGAGTGATCATGTCGGAGGATCTCACCTTCAAGGACCATAACATTGTATCAATCGCATCTGCTAGAAAAATGACAGGATGGATAATGAGAACCTTCAAAAACTAGGGAGGCCAAGCCCATGATGACACTCTTCAGGTCACTTGTTCTATCTAGGCTGGAATATTGCTGCACACTAACAGCACCTTTCAAGGCAGGTGAAATTGCCGACCTAGAAAATGTAGAGAGAACTTTCACGGCGCGCATAACGGAGATAAAACACCTCAATTATTGGGAGTGCTTGAGGTTCCTAAACCTGTATTCCCTGGAACGCAGGAGGGAGAGATACATGATTATATACACCTGGAAAATCCTAGAGGGACTAGTACCGAACTTGCACACGAAAATCACTCACTACGAAAGCAAAAGACTTGGCAGACGATGCACCATCCCCCCAATGAAAAGCAGGGGTGTCACTAGCACGTTAAGAGACCATACAATAAATGTCAGGGGCCCGAGACTGTTCAACTGCCTCCCAGCACACATAAGGGGGATTACCAACAGACCCCTGGCAGTCTTCAAGCTGGCACTGGACAAGCACCTAAAGTCAGTTCCTGATCAGCCGGGCTGTGGCTCGTACGTTGGTTTGCGTGCAGCCAGCAGCAACAGCCTGGTTGATCAGGCTCTGATCCACCAGGAGGCCTGGTCACAGACCGGGCCGCGGGGGCATTGACCCCTGGAACTCTCTCCAGGTAAACTCCAGGAGGTAAGAGGAAATAAACAATAACAAGAACTAGTAAGAAAATAGAAGAAAACCCAGAGAGGTGTGTATATATGTTTATACATGCATGTGTAGTGTGACCTAAGTTTAAGCAGAAGTAGCAAGATATACCTGTCATCCCGCCTGTTTATGAGACAGAAAAAAAGACACCAGCAATCCTACCATCATGTAAAACAATTACAAGTTTCTGTTTCACACTCACTTGGCAAGACAGTAGTACCTTCCTGGGTGTTTGCTGTCTACCAACCTACTACCTAAATTCAACACTATCACATTTCTAAATTTTCTGTACAAATCTATGTTTTATATCTACACCTGAAGGGCCAATAATGTCATGTTTAAAAAAGTAAGGAGGGACTGTGTTAGGCACACCATATGTTCTGGTACAGCAGGTATTACCTACCACTCACACCAATTTTCCTCACTGCTTGATGATTCTGTGCTTTTGGGAGATTCTGAAGAGAAGTTGCAAAGGTTAGTGGATGAGTTTGGGATGGAGTGTAAAGGAAGGAAGTTCAAAGTGAACATAGATAAGAGTAAGGTGATGGGTATATCAAAATGGGTACTATATGAAAAATGAGCTAAACCATAAAACTGATGAAGGGAAAAAGGTGGGTGGTGCACTGAGGTGTCTGTGGAGACAAAAAACATTATCCTTGGAGACGAAGAAGGGAATGTACAAAAGTATAGTGGTACCAACACTCTTACATGGATGTGAAACATGGGCTGTAGATGATGCAGCGAGGAGGACGCTGGAGGCAGTGGAGATGTCGTTTCTAAGCGCAATGTGTGGTGTAAATATTATGCAGAGAATTCGTTGTGTGGAAATTAGGAGTAGGTGTGGAGTTACTAAAAGTATAATTCAGAGGGATGAATAAGGGTTGTTAAAGTGGTTTGGTAATTTAGAGAGGATGGAGCAAAATAGGATTACTTGGAGGGTGTATAAATCTGTAGTGGAGGGGAGAAGGGGTAGGGGTTGTTCTAAGAAAGGATGGAGTGAGGGACGGGATAAAAGAGGTTTTGTGTGTAAGGGACTTGGACATGCAGCAGGCATGCGTGAGCATGCTAGATAGGAGTGAATGGAGAGGATTGGTTTTTGGGACCTGATGATCTGTTGGAGTGTGAGAAGGGTAATATTTTGTAAAGGGATTCAGGGAAACCGGTTAGCTGGAGTTGAGTCCTGGAGGTGGGGAGTACAATGCCTACACTCAAGGAGAGGTTCAGAATTAAGTGTTGAAGACATGACTAAGATTACTACAGCTGTCATGATCCTGGAACACATCTACTGCATATAGCAAGGGACACCTGTATAACTTACCTAAAAAGTATATTTACCTTTACTTTGGCACCAAGTGTGAGGTCTTGTCGTCTCTTCCTCATGAACGTAAAAGCTGTTGCTACTTCTGCATCACTAAGAGCAACATTTCGTTTTCCTCTTCCTTTTTTCTTTACCTGAAAGAACAAAAAATACATACTGTATGGTATAATACCACAAAGAGTAATTATAAAAAGTAAAAATCTCTGGGGATTGTACGAAAATAAATGACTTGCATTACTCATTTTTAACCCTTTCAGGGTCCGTCCCGTAGATCTACGGCTTTATGTTCAGGGTCCAAACCGTAGATCTACGCCATGAGCTCAGCTCACTCTGATAAACTGTGAGTGGTACATTTGGGCCTAGATATGAGAGAATACATCTATGTGGTATGTGTGCACCACATAAAACAGATCCTGCAGCACACTGTGTATAATGAGAGAAAAAAAATGAAATCATGATTTTTCGATTAAAACAGCAACTTTGCAGTGTTTTTTCGTATGTTTTTTATAGTTGTATTTGCGATTTCTTGGTCTCATTTGATAGAATGGAAGACATATTACAGAAATAGAGATGATTTTGATTGGTTTTAGCACTGGAAATGGCTTGAAACTGAGCTCAAAGTAGCAGAAATGTTAAATTTTTGCCGATATTCAAGAGTAAACAAACGACCTCACACGTCTAATACACGCCAGCTGGTGGGTCTAATATACATTCACAAATGTGGTGATGATATTTATACAATTATTACAATATTGCATAACAGTAAATCTTCTATTTTTTGGTGTGAATAAAAATTCATTATGTGAATAAAAAATCAAAATGGAATTTATTTGTAAAGCCTCAAAACATAACTAATGAACAGAGGAAATGTTAGTTTAGTGCCAGGAATGCCTACATTGTTCATTCTGGACCCTATTTTGAAATTGGAATATTTTGAACTTTGTGTTAAATTGGCCAAATTAACAATTTCCGATCACTTTATTTTGTAGTTGAAACAGTTGACTTGGCGATTTCTTGTGCTCAATCGATAGAATAGAAGTAATACTAGTGAAATAGCTAAGAATTTGGTTGATTGGAATAATGTAATTGGCCTAAAATGGGAGTCAAAGTCGGCAAAATCGCCGATTCGTAAATATCGCTGAGACATCAAAATTCGCGAGAGCATAATTTCGTCAATTTTCCACCAAATTTCGTACTTTTTGTTTTATTACCTTCACAAAAAGATTCTCTACAATTTCATAAGAAAAAATAACAAATTTTTTTTTTGAAAATTCTTGGACACTGGTGCGTGACTCCAGATTTGGGCCTTGGACCCTAAAAGGGTTAAATAGAGATGTTTAACCCCTTGAGGGTCCAGACCCCCAATCTGAAAAGTGTCCACAGGGTCAAAAATTTTTTGTTATTTTTTTTCTTATGAAATGGTCGAGAATCTTTTTCTGAAGGTAATAGAACAAAAATTACAGAATTTGATGGAAAACTGACAAAATTATGCTTTCATGAATTTTGCTGAAATTGAGATGATTTTGATTGGTTTCACAATGAAAAGTACCTTGAAACTGAGCTCAAAGTAGCAGAAATGTTTGATTTTTGCCAAAGTTCAAAGGCAAACAAATCATGCCACACATCCAATACACAACAACTGGCGAGTCTAATATTCTTTCACAAGTGCGCTGATATTATTTATACCATTTCTACATGAATGCAGTAGTCTGCATAATATAAATCTTCTATTCTTTGTGAGAATAAAAATTCAAAGTGGAAAGCAAAAGAAATGTAGCAGAGGCCTGGGGACGTGAGTAATCAACAGAGGAAATGTTATTTTAGTGTCAGGAACGTCTGTCTTGTTTATTCCGGACCCTATATGGAAATTGGTATCTTTTGAAATTTGTGTGAAATTGGCAAAATTGCCATTTTCTGACCACGTTATTGGTTAGTTGAAATCGGTAAATGGGTGGTTTCTTGTACTCATTCGATAGAGAAAATGGAGTTCTAGCAAAATAGGTATGATTTTTGTTGACTGGTACATTGGAATTGACCGGTAATAGGGCTCAAAATGGGCGAAATCGCCGATGCAAAAACATCGTCGAGACCGCTAACTTCACGAGAGCATAATTCCATAAGTTTTCCATCAAATTTCATACTTTTGGTGTCATTATGACCAGGAAAAGATTCTCTATCATTTCACAAGAAAAAAAAATAATTTTTTTTTTTCGAAAAATTTCCGACTCTGAGAACAAGTTTAGGAGAGGGCCTGCCGACCTTAAAAGGGTGTATCTCATAAATGTCAACCTGTGACCCAATCAAACTTTGTTACTATTTAACTTCATTACCTAACAGAATACTCCATTCTACTGATTACACAGCAACACAGTAAATGACCATATGACCTGTCTTTGTAATAAAATGGACCCCCGCATAACGATCACCTCCGAATGCGACCAATTATGTAAGTGTATTTATGTAAGTGCGTTTGTACGTGTATGTTTGGGGGTCTGAAATGGACTAATCTACTTCACAATATTCCTTATGGGAACAAATTCGGTCAGTACTGGAACCTGAACATACTTCTGGATTGAAAAAATATCGTTAACCGGGGGTCCACTGTACTCATTTGTACTAAATTGTTTTCTGTTTTAAAATAATTTTTGTACCACTGAATATATCATTGCTTAGTTAATCTTAAGTTAATTTTAAGCCTGCCCATAATGCTCTGCATACAAGGGGCTTTGGCACGCTGCACTTTAAAAATTGTATTCCTTGTACTTCTCTGTATCATGTTCAAATTAATTAATAAATAAATAAATAAAATAAATAAATAAATAAATAAATAAATGCCTAGTATATTATGTGTGGGTGGGTTGGCCAGATGGGCTACCATACCTACCACATCTGACTTTCTACAAATAAATACTATTCACCTTGCACCCTATATAAAGATCATTAAGGCTACAAATATTTTAAGGTAAGTACAGTGGAACTCCAGTTTTCGTACTTAATCCGTTCCAGAAGGTCGGTCTAAAACCGAAATGCACGAAAACTGAATTAATATTTCACACAAGAAGTAATGTAAATACGTACAATTAATCCGTTCCAGACACCCAAAAACATTAACAAAAAATAATTTTTTTAAAGAATAACTATAGTTTTACATACAGAAAACAATGAGAAATAAATACAAATGACTAATTTTAATGATAAATGAACATTACATATCTTTACTGAAGACTCTTGTTGGCATATTGAAGAAGGCGAGAAGGGGAGAGGGAGGAAGATTATTGTTTGGTAGGGGCATCCCCCTCCATAAGGACTTCAGGTATCAAAGCCCTCTTTGGGGTTACTTCCCTTCTTTGTTTATTACTGGCACTGAACCCCTGTCGCACTAAAAATTTGTCCAGAGAGCTCTGTTTCTGGCGCCTCTTTAAGATCTGCTTAAAATGGGACAAGGTATTGTCAATGAACATGTTGCAGATACGGCTTATATCAGCTTCGTCAAGGTGATATTTTTCAACAAAGGTTTGCAACTCATTCCACTTTGCACACATGTCCTTAATCACTGAAGAAGGCACCTTCTTCCCTCTCTCTTCCTCCTCCTCTGAAGCAATTTCCTCTGCTGTGGTCTGTTGCTGTTCCAGATGAAGGTCCTGCAACTCCTCAGTGGTTAGCTCTTCCCTGTGGTCGTCCACCAACTCTTCCACATCCTGGCCACTCACATCCTACCCCATGGACTTCCCCAAGGACAAAATGCATTCCACAATAGGCGTAGGGTCGACAGGGTCAGCCTCAAACCCTTGAAAATCCTTCTCTTGGACACATTCTGGCCATAATTTTCTCTAAGCAGAGTTTAAAGTCCTGGAAGCCGCTTCCTGTGAAGCTCAGCTAAACGTATGCCATTTTTGTATTTTTCTACAATCTCTTTCTTGAATTCTATCGTGTTTCTCACCTTCTTACCATAGGGGTGGTACTAGGAACTTTCTTTGGGCCCATAGTGGGTTATTTCACAGTCACAATCAATAAACAAGCACAAAAACTACAAAATGTTTTGTATGAATGCTCACTCAGCCAGTGACAAAGCCAGACTGACAGCGTTCCCAAGCGGGCGGACGCGTATGATACGTACGATTTCCGGACTGAGGTTCGAAATCCTGACCAAAATTTTGCCCCAAAAAGTGCTCTAAATCCAAATTGTACAATATGAGGACCATATGAAAACCGGAGTTCCACTGTAATGAGTGTAGTAGGTAGTAGGTTGGTAGACAGCAACCACCCAGTGAGGTACTACCGTCTTGCAAGAGAGTGTAAAATGAAAGCCTGCACTTATTTTACATGATGGTAGGATTGCTGGTGTCTTTTTTCTGTCTCATAACCATGCAAGATTTCAGGTACGTCTTGCTACTTCTACTTACACTTAGGTCACACTTCACATACATGTACAAGCATATATATATATATATATACACCCCTCTGGGTTTTCTTCTATTTTCTTTCTAGTTCTTATTTATTTCCTCTTATCTCCATGGGGAAGTGGAACAGAATTCTTCCTCCGTAAGCCATGCGTGTTGTAAGAGGCGACTAAAATTCCGGGAGCAAGGGCCTAGTAACCCCTTCTCCTGTAAGAATTACTAAATTTAAAAAGAGAAACTTTTGTTTTTCTTTTTGGGCCACCCTGCCTTGGTGGGATACGGCCGGTTTGTTGAAAAAAAAAAAAAAACATGCAAGATTTCAGGTACACCTTGCTACTTTTACTTACAATTAGATCACACTACACATGCATGTACAAGTGCATATATACACACACACCTTTGGGTTTTCTTTTATTTTCTTACTATTTCTTCTTCTTGTTTATTTCTTCTTATTTCCATGGGGAAGTAGAACAGAATTCTTCCTCCGTAAGCCATGCATGTCATAAGAGGCGACTAAAATGCTGGGAGCAAGGGGCTAGTAACTCCTCCTGTATACATTACAAAAGTTAAAGAGAGAAAGTTTTGTTTTTCTTTTTTGGGCCACCTTGCTTCAGTGGGATACAGCTGGTTTGTTGAAAGAAGTAATGAGTGTACACTATATGCATTTTATCGCTCTAGGGTGCTTTAAATGTTGTAGTATATTACGTGTGGGTGGGTTGGCCAGGTGGACTACCATACCTACCACACCTGACTTCTTACAATAAACACTACTCACCTCTCACCCTACATGAAAATTACAAATATTTTGAGGTAAGTAACAAGTGTACTGTGTGTGTATTTTACTTTTTATTGTTTTTAATGCTTAATTCTATTGCTAACTTAATTTATGTTAGTGTAAACTTATTATCTGACATTTACAAGTGGACACAAATGGCATTCTGCTTTCTGGCAATATCTGCTTTCCGGCGTTAGCAGGGAACATAACCTGCCGTACAAGTGGGGTCCTACTGTATTTTATTTCATGTGTAAGTCCTAAGCCCATAGGGGTCATACAGCACCTTGGGAAATGAAAGACATTTTATTTCATGGGGAAGTGCTGAACTCATAGGTGTCATACAGCACCTCAGGGAATGGGAAGCAATCCAAGGAAAGAAAGGATAGATCCAACCCCTTGGATAAAAAGGCCTTCATCAGTCAAGGAACCTTCCCCTGAAGCATCCAAAATCAGCAGCAAAGTAAAGATTATGTTTACAGTGTACCAGCTAAGCATGATTATTTATATTCACAAATATATACAGTTGATACTCAATCAGCAGGCATCCACTTATTATATAATACAATACAGCCTCTCCTCGCTTAACGATGGAGTTCTGTTCCTAAGACCACATCGGTAAATGAATTCATCGCTAAGTGAGGAGCATACTATAATAAGAACATAAGAAAGTAGGAACACTGCAGAAGGCCTACTGGCCCATACAAGGTAGGTCCTTATCAAAACGACATCTACCTAAAGCTACCCAAGAAATGGTAGTGGGTTTGTGTCAACCATCTTTGATATTGTTTTAATGTCACCTTTGCACCACTTATAACATTTTTGGCATATTTTTAAATGTTTATACAGTAGTGCACTATATATTGTAATAAACAGAGTATAGGAAATCTACTCAAATATACATTATTTAGGAATGCATACTGGTCAGAGAGCCTGTCGTAAGTCTGAGTTGTTGGTAAACGAGTACATTGCTAAATGAGAAGAGGCTGTATATCTTTATTTCTACAATTACATGTACAAGGTATACAGGCCTAGCTGACATCAATGACACACTACTATATAGAAAGCATTTCAGGCAAATTAGGTCAATTTTGTCCCAGGATGTGACCCACACCAGTTGACTTACACCCAGGTACTCATTATTACTGATGGGTGAACATAGACAACCAGTGTAAGGAAATATGCCCAATGCTTCCAACTTTTGCTGGGAATCGAACCCAGAGTCCTCACCATGTGAAGAGAGATCTTTTGAGACCAGGCCATGGGCCACCATATTTGTAAACAATACTAAACCTCAGGGTCAATCAGAAACAAAAAGTATAAAAGGTTGAAAATAATCAACCAGCAGGTTTGAGGGTAAAAAGATGGAGCAATTCTTTACTTTTGTTAACCCTTTCAGGGTTTCGGCTGTACTAGTATGGCTTATGCACCAGGGTTTTTGGCGTACTAGTACGCCTAAATTCTAGCGCCCTCAAATCTAGTGAGAGAAAGCTGGTAGGCCTACATATGAAAAAATGGGTCTATGTGGTCAGTGTGTGGTATAAAAAAAAAGCCTGCAGCACAGTGCGTAATGAGAAAAAAAAACCTTTGACCATGTTTTTGGATTAAAACAGTGACTTTGCACTGTATTTTCGTATGGTATTTATTGTTGTATTCTAGTTTTCCTGGTCTCATTTTATAGAATGGAAGACATATTACAGAAATTGAGATGATTTTGACTGGTTTTACAAAGAAAAGTACCGTGAAATTGAGCTCAAAATAGCAGAAATGTTCGATTTTTACCGAAGTTCAAAAGTAAACGAATCATGCTATGCGTCCAATACACGTCAACTGGTGAGTCTAATATTCTTTCACAAGTGCGTTGATATTACTTATACCATTTCTACATCAATGCAGTAGTCTGCATAACAGTAAATCTTCTATTTTTTTGTGAGAATAAAAATTCAAAGTGGAAAGCAAAAGAACGTAAGAGGGGCATGGGGACGTGACTAATGAACAGAGGAAATGTTATTTTAGTGCCAGGAATGTCTTTCTTGTTTATTCTGGGCCCTATTCGGAAATTGGCATCTTTTGAAATTTGTGTGAAATTGGCAAAATTGCTAAATTCTGACCACTGTACAGTGGACCCCCGCATAACGATCAGCTCCCAACTCGACCAATTATTTAAGTGTATTTTTGTAAGTGCTTTTGTAGGTGTATTTTTAGGGGTCTGAAACGGACTCGTCTAATTCACGATATTTCTTATGAGAACAAATTCGGTCTATAACGGCACCCAAACAGACTTCTGGATTGAAATAATACCGTTATGCGGGGGTCCACTGTATTGGATAGTTGAAATCGGTAAATGGGTGGTTTCTTGTACTCATTCGATAAAAAAAAAAAGGAGTTCTAGTGAAATATGTATTATTTTTGTCAACAAGTACACTGGAATTGGCCAAAAATAGGGCTCAAAGTGGGCAAAATCGCCGATGCATAAACATAGCCAAGACCGCTAACTTCGCAAGAGCATAATTCTGTATGGTTTCCATCAAATTTCATACTTTTGGTGTCATTATGATCGGGAAAAGATTCTCTATCTTTTCATAAGAATTTTTTTTTTTTTTAAATTTGGGCGACCCTGAGAACAAGTCTCTGAGAGAGCCTGTCAACCCTGAAAGGGTTAAACCCTTCAGCTGTGAGAGGGCATGCATTTTTAATTCACTACAGTATGTAGATTTAACCCAGGATAATTCAATAAAGTCAAACAATGTTACTTATTGTCCCCTCTGTTACTGGACAATTTCTATAAATTTAACTGCTTGTATCATGAAACTGAAAGTGAAACAAATAAAGCTTCTTCATGACAGTTCCACACATTCTACTGAAGTACTGTTACTCATGATGAACTGGATGTACTCATTTGAGGAAGAAAAAAAATTCCTAGTCAAGAAATAGTAGTAGTTCAGCCGAGGCATAAAATGACTGTGCAGAGCAGATTTGAAGGCACAAACCTGGTGTAATTCCCGTGTAAATATACATTAAACACAATCTCAAGGTTAAAATAATTACCAATATAGGAGGTCTTAATGCATTCAAAATTTCACTGAAGTCAGACACCCCGAATCATACATTATGGTAAATCAAGATACTTGTATACCTATAGTAGTTACAGGACAATACAAAAACATAATTGAAATACAAAAGAATGGTATACAATTTCATACAAAATTATACCACAGTAATCACATGTTTAATATTATACAGGTCCACATCCCTAAATCTGAAATTCTGAAATTCGAAAAGTTCCGAAAACCGGAGTTTTTTCATGGAGTGTAGAGTGTCAGTCATCTCTACATAACTCCAATGCTGCCACGTGGCGGTGTGACCCAGCATTTAAATCCCTCTGAGACACAACTGACACCTGCCAGAGTGGCAGGTGTCAGTTGTGTCTCAGCACTTGTAGTGTTCACACATGCATCTACTGTTCACTGATATTTTATTTTTGCTTTTTATTTTGTGACTGTGTTTAATTTCACTGTGAAAATGTCAAAAAGAGCTGCAGATACCCCTATGGGTAACAGTGCAGTGCTTGGAAGGATGTTGATAAATCAACATCAATAAATGCTTGGCACAGACTTTGGCCTAAAATGATGTTTGATGTAAATGAACCTACAGATGAAGACTTTGAAGGATTTTGTGTCACCAATGAGAAGATATCAAACCTCGTAACTTAGGCTAAAAGTTTATCGGACAAAAGTGTAAATAAATTACAGGAAGCTGACACTGAAGGAATGCTGAACATTGACAATGATGCACCAGTTGTCCATTCCTTGAGTGATGGTGAAATTGCTGAAATGGTGTTAAATACAAATAAGCATGAGAATAGTAGTGTTGATGATGGTGAAAATGTGTGATCAGTTAATTGCTGGCCTTGAACAACATGCATTTATCAGTGAGCAAGAGATTATGGCAATTTACTCAGCTAAAGAGAGATTGCTTAGACAGAAACCCATGTTAATAAGACAGATGACACTTGAAGAAGTCTTTAAAAATGCCATCTGTCAATCTTGAGAATCATGATCCTGGTTTATAATTATCCCATTATTTCATTTATCAATATATGTATTACTTTATAAATAAACCATAGTAGTATTTGTAGTCTTTATTTAAACCACTTAATGTGAGTATTCATAAGTTTTTGCTACAGTGTTAATGCTTGATTATGGGGTGTTGCCCTAGACCCAACCTTCATTCCGGAATTCGAAAAATTCTGAAATTAGAAACGCTACTGGCCCCAAGGGTTTCGGATAAAGGGATGTGGACCTATATAAACAGGCTGTGAACTCACCACATGGCTTAGTATATACACATATGTACCTTTGCTCTACCACGTCTAGTAGCCTTTTTCTTAGGTTGCCCTTCCACATCTGGAGCTTTATCATCTTCAGCAGCACCTTCTTCCTCATGATCATCATTCACTGTTGTGGAAAGGTGAGGCTCTGATTCTTTTTGAAGTATCTCTTGCTCTTCTATGACAGCCTTAGGAGCTTGCATAACTTCAGGACTGTTCAAGTGCTGCATCTCTTGGGGGTCTGATACCAATTCCCTGGCCATGTTTCCATATGACTGAAGATCCATTTTTCAGGTCATCTTTATAAACAACACTGCCTGAAAATGGTGTGAAATATGTACAATATGTATAAACACACAAACAAAAACAAAACTTTGTTTCTATAAAGTGGTGTACTATACAGTATGCAATTAGGGTAATTAACATGTATAAACTACTTTACAGAAAGCCCTTTGTTAGGCAAGGCATTTTGGATAACCTTAAAACTATCTCAAAATTAACAGACAATGAAACACAAGGTACATGAGAATAAGAATACTTAGTTTATACTATACTGAAGGCATTCAGTAATTTAATAAAATTTCTTACTAAAGATACATTAAGGCTGAAGCTAGGTACAAGAATTGATGCCTTTCTAGTAATAAATAAGAGTTGAAGAAAGGATCAAACAAGAACAGGGACAATAATGAATGAAAGGCAGGGTTTCATGATTTGTTTGGCATAATAAATTGCTGTCAGGATCACATTAAGATATGGAGGTGTTTTTTAATAGTAGCCTTGAAGTGGTTGACACAGGGAGCCTCTGGAATCTTCAGGCAAAGAGTTCTAAATTTTAGGTCCTTTTATGCTCAATGGCTTTTTATACAGGTAGAGCCAGACATGTGGAATATCACAAAGATATTTGTGTTTGGTATTATACCTATGAGTTCTGTTGCAGTTACCAGGAAAGCTTCAAAGCAGGAAAGCAGGATTGACATCAGAATTGATTGTTCTGTATACAGTGGAACCTCAAATTTCGAACTTAATCCGTTCCAGGAGCTAGTTCTAAATTCGAAAAGTCTGAAATTCGAAGCAATATTTCCCATAAGAAATAATGTAAATACAATTAATCCGTTCCAGAAACTCAAAAATATTCACACAAAAAATACATTTTATTGAGATAAATTACAGTTTTACATACAACAAATACTAGTTTTTAATTATGTATAGTAATACATATAAAATAACATTTTTACTTTTATTGAAGATTGGTGATGGCATCTGGAAGATAGGGAGGAGGAGAGAGGGAGTTGGGGTTAGTGTTTGGAAGGAGAATCCCCCTCCATGAGGACTTCAGGTAAAGCACTCTCTGTGGTTACTTCCCTTCTCTGTCTTTTAATGCCACTAGGATCAGCTTGAGAGTCACTGGACCCCTGTCTCACAAAATAACTGTCCACAGTCCTGTTTCTGGCACCTCTTTAATATTTCCCTAAAATGGGACATGGTTCTGTCGCTGAACTTGTTGCAAAGATGACTTGTTTCAGCTTGCTCAGGGTGGTACTTCTGCACAAACATTTGGACACCATTCCACTCTCATACTTCTGTATTATTTCCTTCTTCACATCTGTGGTGTTTCTCACTTTCTTTACCACAGGGGTACCACTAGCAAGTTTCTTTGGGCCCATGGCAGCTTATTTCACAGTCCCACAAGCACTAAACACAATGAAATAATCGTAAAATGTGTGAATAAGAGCGCAGGTTAGAGTTCACTCAAGCATAAACAAAGCTAGACTGCTCACGGCGCCTGCGTAGGGACGCGGACAGAGCGGGCCGGTGGACAGGTCCTGTACCTGGCGGTCCGAAAATAGGGGCGCGTTTGATAATAGGGACACAGTTTGTCCAAAAAAAGGGTCCTATTTTCGAAACGTTCGATATGTGATACGTTCGATTTTTTGAGGTTCCACTGTATTAGGCAAATTTAGATTTTTGAAGAGTGAGGGAGTGTGGTGTCTGGCACATCTGGGTGATCATTCATACATCTGCTTTTGTTGAATCATTATTGGCTTTAAGTAATTTGGTGTAGTAGTTCCCCAGGCACAAATAGCATAAGTGCAGTAGGGATAGATCAGAGTAGTGTAAGTAGTGCTGTTTGAGGTACACAAATCTTAGGATAGATGCTTGTAAAAGTATTTAACAAGGCTTAGATCCTGATGAAAATGTGCATTAAATTTTCAAAATTACTATTATTATTACAGTACTATAAAATTCAAGATGTGTAAAAGCTGCAAAGGTCGTACAAGACCTGTGGAACAGGAGGTATTCAGATTTGACCCAAGGAAGAGTAGCTCTAATTCCTTGGGTCAAGAGCCTTTTGCCAGCATCAAGGTACCCTGTCAGGGACAGAATGCCTTAATAATAAGAACATTTATCTTTTATTTCTACAAGTACATAGTACATGTACAAGGTATACAGGCCTAGCCGACTTCAGTGAAATATGTACTACTATAGAGAAAGCCCCGTGTTATACAGAGCATTTCAGGGAAATTAGGTCAATTTTGTCCCCAGGATTCAACCCACGCCAGTCAACTAACACCCAGATACCAATTTTATTGATAGATAAACAAGGACAGCAGGTGTCTGTGGTTTGATCCCCACCTGCACTGTGGATCAAACCAAGGACCTCAATGTGTGAGCTGTGTGTGTAAGCAACTGAGCTACAGAACACCTTGGATTTGATCCTTTACAGGAAAGGGTAACTCCAATTCTTTGGACTCAAGTTCTCTACCAACATCAAGGTACCCCTCCCATTAAAGGTTAGTCTTTAAAAGGTAAGAGTAAAAAGTTAGTTTATCATTTGAGATTATAAAACTAACAATACTGAAAATTTTCTTTTTTAAACTACTTTCCAAGACTTGTTAATATTAAAAGATTACTAGTACACACCTTTGGTGCATATACAATAACGTATAATTACCTACTTTTTTTTAAGTGGATATTACAGAATATGGTGAATGAATATAAAATATTATTTTTTATATTTCCTGGCCATACATTGTGAATTTCTATGAAATGCTTTTGTATGTTGTTCCCCATATGTTTTACCCTAGAGGTTAGACCAATCAGCTATCCAAGTAAAAAACAATACAGTGGACCCTCAACCAACGGCATTAATCCATTCCAGAGGGCTTGCCGTTGGTCGAGTTAATTTTCCCCGTAAGAAATAATGGAAATAGAATAAATCCGTTCCTGATACCCCGAAGTCTGAAAAAAAAAAAAATTTCACATGAAATATACATTTCCTTATATGGAAAGGAATGGGACATACAAAATAAACAATAATTAAATGCCACTTACCTTTATTGTGGAGTTGTTGATGAGTGATGTGCCAGCAGCAGGGGAAGTTCAGGATTGTCTATTGCTTGGAAGGAGAATCCCCTTCCATAAAGACTTCAGGTACCAAGTCCTTTGGTGGGGTTACCTCACTTCTTGGCTTTTTAATGCCACTAGGACCAGCTTGAGAATCATTGGACCACCCTCTACCACCATCACTACCACCCTCTACCACCATCACTACCACCCTCTACCACCATCACTACCACCCTCTACCACCATCACTACCACCCTCTACCACCATCACAACCGGTACCACCCTCTACCACCATCACAGCCACTACCACCCTCTACCAACATCACTAAAATCCTCTACCTCCATCACTACCACCCTCTACCACCACCACTTTCGTATTTTTCTACAAACTTTTTCTTGAATTCTGTCATGTTTCTCACATCCTTTACCAAAGGGCTGGCTTTAGAAGCTTTGGTGGGGCCCATGGTGGCTTATTTAGCGGTTACAAGCACTAGAAACAGTGGAATAATCCAAAATGTATGGGAGGCACACGTGGAAACCGACCACAACAGTTTGTAAACAATGGAACACTGACGTTGTTGGTTAAGTTTTTTTGCCGTTGGTTAAGGCATTTTTTCTACGGCAAAAAGCGCTGTTAGACAAAATTGCTGTTACTTAATGCCACCGTTAGTTGAGGGTCGGCTGTATTTAAGTTGGATTCAAATGATGTAGTAGCTACTGACATAAACCTAAGAAAGGCAAATTACAGAACAAGCTTTAGAGACAATGTTCATCTCTGTACAGCTTTATCAAGTCACAACATGATAAATCAAAACTTTACACAGAGGAAAATGTCTGAATAAAAGCCTGTGCGAAATTTCTTTTTACACAAAAAGACAAACTAAACTTTTTGACCTCTTTCAATATGCAGAAGGTGGAATGGAGCAGGAAGAAAAAAAAATACATGTTTTTAATGTTATTTTTACTTTAACCCTTAACCCCTTGACTGTCGCAACCCCCAATCCTGAGCTGTCTCCTGGTGTCGCAAAATTTAAAAAAAAAATTATTTTTTCTTATGAAATGGTAGAGAATCTTTTCCCGATTGTAATGACACCAAAAAAAAAAAAAAAAAAAAAAAATTGACGGAAAACTGATGGAATTACGCTCTCACAAAGTTAGCGACCTCAGCGATATTTACAAATTGGAGATTTCGCCCACTTTGAGCCCTATTTTCGGCTAATTCCATTGTTTCAGGCGACCAAACTCATAGTTATTTCTTTAGAACTCCATTTTTTCTATCGATTGAGTACTAGAAACTGCCCATTTACTGATTTCAACTACCGAATAACGTGGTCAGAAATTTGCAATTTAGCCAATTTCACGAAAATTAAAAAATATGACAATTTCAAAATAAGGTCCAGAATGAACAATGCAGACATTCCTGGCTCTAAAATAACATTTTCTTTGTTTATCAGTCATGTCTCCAGGCCCCTCTGATATTACTCTTGCTTTCTATTTTGAATTTTTATTTAAACAAAAAATAGAAGATTTACTATTATGCAGACTACTGCAATACTGTAATAATTGTATAAATAACATCAACCTATTCATGACTGCATATTAGAATGGCTAGTTGGACATTTATTGGACAATGACATCATTTGTTTACTTTTGAACATCGGTAAAAATCAAACATTTCCCCTACTTTGAGCTCCATTTCCAGGTTCTTTTTATAGTAAAATCAATCAAAATCACCTCTATTTCTATAACATGTTTTCCATTCTATCAAATGAGACCAAGAAAACGAGAATACAACCATAAATACTATACGAAAATAGATCACAAAGTCAGCATTTTAATTAAAAAAATGGTCGGAGTTTTTTTTTTTTCATTATGCACTGCGTGCTCCAGGATTTTTTTTTATATGGTGCACACTGACCACATAGACCCATTCTCTCACATGTGGGCCTACGAGCTTTCTCCTGCTTGATTTGAAGCCGCTAGAATTTATGAGTATACGTATATACGTCAAACACGGTACCTCGTAAAACGTATATACATGTATACGGCCGCTGCAGTCAAAGGGTTAAACTGTCCAAACGTAGATCTACGTTTGCGCGCGTAGCACTCCGACCTTGATTTTCTCCGTAAGAATGTAAAATAAGTAGATCTACGTTCAGAGTGCCACGCGAGTGTACGTAGATCTACGTTTGGATAGTTTAAAGGTTAAAGACCAGTCGAGCTATGGTTCATATGTTGGCTTGTGTGCAGCCAACAGTAACAGCTTGGTTGATCAGGCTTAGATCCCCAAAACCCTTTCCAGGTATAAAAGTAGTGATGAATACAGGTCTGCCATCACAAATCCGGCATCATTGGGACCTGTAGTGTGCCGGATTATTGAGTTTGCTGGATTACAGAGTGGTTAAGCTAGAATACACTTAATAAAGTTAACCAACTTGACTTACACAAAAAAGTTCACTGAACATTGGCAAAAATCGAACATTTCCGCTACTTTGAGCTCAGTTTCAAGGTACTTTTTGTCGTGAAACCAATCAAAACCATATCTATTTCTGTAGTATATCTTCTATTCTATCAAATGAGACCAAAAAAGCAAGAATACAACCATAAAAACCATACGAAAATATACCGCTAAGGGGCGGCTAATGGCCGAGAAGTGAACTCCATTATTTATCGTACGATTTCTTTCATTTTTGGTGTACGCATCTTTCCATCA